AGACATGATGCCCTCTGTGGGTGGAGACAGAATGCCCTTTGTGGGCGAAGACAGAATGCCCTTTGTGCGCGGAGACAGGATGCCCTCTGTGGGCGGAGACAGGATGTCCTCTTTGGGCGGAGACTCGACAGCCTCTGTGGGCGGAGACAGGATGCCCTCTGTGGGTGGAGACAGAATGCCCTTTGTGGGCGGAGACAGAATGCCCTTTGTGCGCGGAGACAGGATGCCCTCTGTGGGTGGAGACAGGATGTCCTCTTTGGGCGGAGACTCAACAGCCTCTGTGTGCAGAAACAGGATACCCTTTGTGAGCGGAGACAGGATACCCTTTGTGCGCGGAGACTCAACAGCCAATGTGGGCGGAAACAGAATGCCCTCTATAGGCGGAGACAGGACGCCCTCCAGGAGCAGTGAGTGGATGTCCACACCCAGACACCAGCTGGTCCCTGCAAGCCTGGCGTACAGAGAACCACAGGTACACCCATAAACACACTCTGTTCATTTTCTGAATCTGAGAATCCGTCCAGAGGACCTGATTCAACCTTGTTAGATTTATCTACCTGGATTATTGAGCAGCATCAGGACCAGTTGAAATCAAAGTTGCAATCTGGAATATATATATATATATATATATATATAAAAAAAAAAACATCCTGTAAATTGTTTTGTCATTGTCCTGTGTCGCAGATCGAAGAGTGGTAATGATGACTGGATGGCAGGTCAAAAATTAATCTATGGGGGCCAAGGCCACCATCGGCCACCCCCTGGCTCTGCCACTACTCCTGGTGGTGGATTAAATTGCTCCCTCCACTCGCCAGGATCCGTCACTCTGCGCTGCCTCAGACAAGAAAAAAAAAACTTACCTCTGTTCCTCTCCACAGTGTAACTCCTGCACACTGGAATATCTTGTACCAAAAACATTTGGGACATATGGCTGCAGCGGATCAGTGACATAGAAGGGGCCAGAACTGTTCAGAGATTTAAAAACATCCAGAAGGATTTTAAAATGAATTCAAAGTGAACCTGGACAGTGTTGCCAAGTCCGCTTATTATAAGTGACTTTGGGCTTGATTTTTTTTCTAAAGTCGCTTGTAAATTTTGTGAGTCGCGTTTTTTGGGCTTGTTTTGAACGTGAAGTTCTTTATTTGGGCTTGACTTTCTTTCTGTGTGAAACTAGTTGACTATCTCCCGGCTCCGCACAATAAAGCAAAAGACGAGTGGTCGTAGGTAGTTTGGCCCTTCCACGCCTCGTTTCCTGTTTATCGCTCCCGCCCAAGTTGACGAGGCGACGGGCGCACACCCAAACACTCGTACTGTGGCCGACCACTAGGGGGCTCCACTCACACGCAGATGTCAGGATGTTTTGGTTTAAAAAAAAAAAAAGGTAGAAAAAATATGATTTACACATTTGTTACGTATGAACTTTTTTTTTATCAGAGCTTAAAAGTATGTATTTAAAATTATTTAGCATAATTTTGCTGTTGTTTATGTGTAACGCTATAATAAATGTATGTTTATACTTTTTAAAAACGGCCTCTGTTTTACACAATGTAGTGGGTTGCCAGTTGGGCTTTTTTTGAGCTCGTTTTCGTAGAGCTGGTTGCTTGTTTCTATCGCGGGATCTGGCAACACTGAACCGGGAGCCAGCGAAGGGAGGCCAGAACTGGAGTAATGTGCTCTCTTTTGCCTGTACCAGTTAAAAACCAGGCTGCAGCATTTTGGACCAGTTGGAGGCGTGACTGATTCCAGAGAGAAGTGTGTTGCAGTCATCGAGCCTGGATGTGATGAAAACATGTTTTACTGTCTCCAGGTTAGTTTTGGACAGTGTGGACTTCAGTTTAGACCGTCGCCTCAACTGAAACAAACATGTTTACAGGACTTTTTAGATCTATATCTAGTCTATCTCTATATCATATATCTATGTCTGAAACCCGACTTCTCCACAGCGTCTGATTAATGTTCTGCTGGGCTGGGAGAGGCGTCTCGTTGCAGGAAAACTGCCATCAGAGAGCAGAGGAAACGGCCTCCAGATTTCTTTGACAGCGTTTGTGTGTGTGCAGAACGTGTGAAGATGAGGGAGCACGGGGTGACAGACAAAGTACACGTGTGGTGCTGAAGCCAACAGAAACCCTCACAGAGCCTTGCTGCACGAATGATTAAAAAATAATAATTCTTTGAGCGTCGGTGGTTTAACAGGAAAATAAAAACCATCCTGACACCACCAGTAGTATCACGCCCGCTGACATCAACTGTTTGACAGTTACTGGTTCTTAGCAGCTGCAGGGAGGAGAAACGGCCCCGGTGGCTCGAGGCAGACGCCCTTTTGTCTCGTGTGCCACCTTGAAAGCTGCCTGTCCGCTCGCTTTCCTTCACCTCATGCCCTCGCACCACTCCTCCTCCTCCTCCTCCTCCTCCTCCTCCTCCTCATGAACTCATTCAGAAGCCTTTCTATGTATAAATCCATCCATCCATCCATCCATTATCTTTACCCGTTTATTCCATTTTGGGTCACGGGGGTCGCTGGTGCCCATGTCCAGCAATCACTGTGCGAGGGGCGGGGTACACCCTGGATGGGTCGCAAGTCCATCACAGGGACACATAGAGACAAACGAGACAAACAACCATTCACTCTCTCACTCACACCTAGGGACAATTTAGAGTTACCAATCAGCCTAACATGCATGTTTTTGGTCTGTGGGAGGAAACCGGAGTACCCGGAGAAAACCCACGCATGCACGGAGAGAACATGCAAACTCCACCCAGAAAGGCCCCTGGACCGGGGTTTGAACCAAGGACCTGCTCGCTGAGAGGCAGCAGCTCTACCAGTTGCGCCACCGTGCTGCCCTTCTATGTATAAATGTTCTCTTTAATTCATATTTGATTTTCTTTGGTAACAAAACTAAATGTTCAGTTCTGAGTTCATTTTTTTATACAATGCCACCTCAGGGCCCGGTACAAAAACATTAAAACCTCCTAAGACCTCCTAAGACCTCCTAAGATTCCTATAATGTCCACATATGTGGACGCCAGGTCCTGGGAGGTTCAAAAAAAGCTAATTAGCTGAGTAAAGACAGCAGAGTGAGGAGGTTTGGTCAATTTGTCTGGTGCAGTAAGAAACCGCGATCATGTCTTGTTGTAGCAGCAGAACTAAGACATAGTTCAGGAAACCCAAGCCAACCCTAACTATAGGATTTATCAAATAGGAAAGTCTGAAGCCTTAAAAGTAGACCAATGTCAGCCTGCACGGACAGAAACTGGAAGTTGGTTCCACAAGAGAGAGGAGCCTGAGAACTGGAAGATCTTCCTCCCATTTTGCTTCTGGAAACTCTAGGAACTACAAGTAAACCAGCAGTCTGAGAGCAAAAAGCTCCGTTAGGAAAATATGGAACATATCTTTAATTTAAGATGGAGCTAGGTCGTTGAGGGCTTTGTATGTTGGAAGATGAAGAGAAGCTAAAACTCTCCTTCAAGCTCTCATCTGAGCATTTTTAAATCAACTGAAGACTTTTAGAGTTTTATGACGCCCAGATCATAACGAGTGACAAAAGTCCAGCCTAGAAGTGATAAATGCAGTTTGTCTGCATCACTTTGGGATTAAATGTTTCTAACCCGGTTTAGATTGGATCTAAAACACAGCGTCCATCTTGTTTGAGTTTAAAAGCAGAACATTAAGTCTTCCAGGTTTTCATAAAGTTATTCTCAAGGTTTGAGCTACAATTTCATGATCTCAGTCTACAATTGTGGTATGAAAGGTGGCGGGTGATAAGCATTCCTTCAAGGAATCCTATGCCTTTTATTCATTGAGCCTTTGCGGTGGCGTTTCTCATCGGTGTTCATTTGGTTTGCACGGCTGCTTTAGCTTCTTTCAGCTGACGCCCAACACAAGAACCTGACTGGACTTGTAGTCTTTAAGGTATAATCAACCGAAATTATGATTTAGTTTCCACTGGATGTGGGTTTTTCTGAACAAGTATTTTTTGTTCAGCTCTGGTTTGTCTGTTAATTTTAGCCGATGTTGATTTCGTTCTGAGAGCAATTCAGAAACAGCTTAGTCATCAGAACGGTTTGAGGTCAAGCAGAACATCGGTGGATTGAACGTCAGTTTTCTGCTGAGTTCGTGTTGTAAAGACACCAGCGGAGACGTTATCCACCCGGGGGAACTGGTCCAAATGAACCAGTTTGGTTCTGATTCATGAAGTTAGACGGCACAACTTTTAAAAACGTTTTGTGTTACTTTGTGTTCAGAAGTTGTGAAACCACCTTTAGGACTTTTCAGATAATTATTAACTCATGAAAGTTTTAGACGACATTCTTACATGTTCACTCCAGTTGATGCTCAATATTAAACATTTGTTTAACTAGTAACTCATGTATATATGATCATTTATGATAACGTAAAGTTTTTTCCTGATGTTTTCCAGGTGGAAAGCTCTTCGTCCGCAGTCTTTTCTCCAACCTTGACCTCGGCGACACAAAGTGAGTTTGTGAACTTCCTACAATTCCATTGAAGTTGTTTAAATAATATTTATTCTTCTACACATCCTAATATTGCTAAAGATGGAGTAAAAGATTCAAGCCGTTATTTATTTATTTTTTTTACTCATGATCTAATGTTCTTATAAGAACAAGCGTTTCATATTTACGTTATTGCTTGAGTAAATTATTTGAACCCTTTATCTAAAAGTTTATTATCACTCGGAGCCAGAGCGAGAGAAACTCTGTGCCAGTGAGGACGTTGGGAGATTAAGATGTCTGAGAAGAATACTGCCTTCTTCACCGCCCGCTGCTCCTCTTCCTCCTCCGGTCACCTTCAGACCAACATCAGCACGTAGGAAGAAAAAGGATTTCTCATGTTTTTGAAACAAAAAAAATGTTTTAATGTCTCTTTTGTTGCATTTTTCCTCTGCAGATGAAGCTCATCTGCCCGTTTCCAATGAAAATGGGCCTCGAAGTGTAAATTATGTAAATATCCCCGTCCTCCTGGAAAACGCAGCAGAGCTCCTCCACGCGGAGCTGGACCTGCAGAGATGCTCTTCAGCTCCTGTGTCCGGTTCCTACAGCGTGGTGGGAGGTGACCCCCTGCAGCTCTGTACACCTGGTAAGACCACTGGGAATGAAACCATTTCAGATCACGTCTCCACACTTAACGAGAAGCCCATCGGGATGGTTAGTGAATGAAGACAGCGGAGCTGGAATAGGAAACATCTGGAATATGAAACATCTGTTTGAAGCAGCTGCTGCTCGATTTAGTCATTCTTCTCCGTCTGCTCGACTGACGTTTACGATTCGATCCTCAAAGCTGCATGCGTTTTTATCATTAAGAGAAGAAAAAGAACTAAAACGTGTCCTTTGAACCAGCTTGATAATTTGTAAATGTAGATTATGGCAAGTAATGATTTAAAAAAATATGAAGATTTTAATTTGTTTCTGTTTTGAAGCCTAATTTTAATAGAACTACACAAATCTGCAAGTTCAAATAAAACAATTTATTACAGTGAAAAAGTAATTTACAACAGTTGAAACATGATTAAGATTTAAAGTTAACGTGAAAATCGACTTTTTTTAATTACATGTGATAAAAATCAAAACATAAAAAAGATGAAAAAGTAAATTTTAAATAAACATGAAGTTTGCATGTTTTCACCAATCAGTAAAAAAATCTCTCTCCGTTCCCCCCCCATCAGAAGAGGACTCCGTCAGGTACGCCCACCTGGACCTCGCCGCCAAGGAAACGGCTCAGAGCGTGGGGGCGGAGCCTGTTCAGAGCAGGTGGCGAGGGCCACCGAGCTCACTCTGCAGCACCGAACTCCAAACTGCAGGTCATTTCTGTCCGGGCTCAACGCGTCACGTGCCGTCGAACCGATCGCCCCCGAACTGAAACCCACAGTTTTACCTCGAGCGATCCATTGCACTGAAAATGAAAGACACAAACGTGGGGAGTTTTTCTGTCGCCATCGTCTCAGCTCAGTCCAAGTTTGTTCGTGTGGCGTTTTCACAAGTTGAGCTTTTATTGACGACTGTTTCTGAGTATCGGTACAAAAAGATACACGGATCCATAAAGTATTCAGATCTTTCTTACGTTCCGTCACGGTACACCACAAAAGTCAAAGTATTTTAGGATTTTGTGCGATAATACCGACACAAAGTAATGTTTAAATTGTGAAGTGGAAGAAAATGAAACGTTTTATTTTTTAACAAAGAATTCAAAAAGTGTGCCGTGGATTTCCTCAGATACCTGAACTAAAATAAAACAAGTTGCCTTCAGACACGTCAGGGAGACGGTTCTAGAAGTACTGAGCACTGCTCAACCCATCTGAAAATGGAAAGAGTACTGCACGACTGCAAACGTGCACGGTGGTCCACGAGTCCTGGGTCATCTCTTGGATCCGGCTCAACAAAAAGCTCTTCACTGAGAACAGCTGGTGAAGAGCAGGTTCTTCCAGCTCCTCAACAAGCTCAGAGCCGTTGGACCCATCACAACTGAAGACAAAGGGACAGTCTGGAGCAGGAGAACATTCATTTAAGAAGCTCATGTGGAGCTTGGTTGACATGAACATTAGCTGGACTCTCCACAAATCTGACTTTCATGGAAACGTGGCAGGAAGAAGTCGTGCAGGGGCCACAGCAAACATCTCTGCTCAGATGAGACCACTTGAACTTTTTGGCCTAACTGCAAAACGCTAAGGAAACCCACCACTGCACATGACCCTGAACTCACCATCCTCACTGTGAAGCATGGTGGCGGCAGCATCATGCTGTAGAGGATGCTGCCACCAGCATCTCTCTGACCAGGACACTGGTCAGTTAATGGGAAGACGGAGTTAAACACAGGACAATCTGGAAGAACAACGGCCCGATCAAGGTCCGGACCTGAATCCAACTGTGGCAGGACTCGAACTGAGCCCCACGTTTTACACAAACTTAGATCTGACTAGAGTTAAGACTCGCAGCTGAAAGGTGGTTCTGAGAACAAATCAACACAGTTTTCATGTAGAAAACTACCGTATAAGAAAACCGTGCACCATTTTCCCTCCGCTTCATGATCATGCACTACTTTGTGTTGCAGTACTACATAAAACCACAGCAAAATACTTTGAAGTGTTCGGGTGTAACGTGCTGGAGTAGTGTGAACATGAAGGTCCGGTAAGTAAAAGACAAACGGCAGCTTTGCTCGAGTCTCACTGGTCGTGACCGGTCGACTAAAAGTGAATCTGGAAAGAATCGTTTCAGTTTAACTTTCCACCACGTGTTCTGAAACATCGGGCTTCTTGTGCAAACTGTCGTCTTGGCTGCGCATCATTTTGTCGTCCACCCCCAGGCAGACGCGTTACGATTTAATCTGCTGGAATACGCTTTGGAAATTAAATTAGGACGATTTGGACCAGTTTCTTCAAATAATTACTTATCGACAGCGTGTTTGTTTTTTAAGTCCTTGACATGTTTGAGTCAGCAGACAGGTTGGAATGACCTGCGACACAACTCGGGAGGGTTTGGGACTTCTTCAATCAGGTCATATGAGCAGTTTCTTTTTAGTGGACAGACGTTTCGCTCTCTATCCAGAGGGCTTCGTCAGTCTCAGGAGTCCCAAGTAAACAGTACACCACTTTAGTGGACCAACCAGTTTGCTGGTGATAAGATGGTTTCTGGGGGCTGTTGACTCCTCCCAGGCAGGCAGCCACAGTCAAAGTGGTTCAAGACATTAAAGTTCATGCTCAATCATCACAATCCAGTAATAATCAATCAGGTCACCTGGACCTGGATGATGAGCATGAACTTTGATTTCAACACAAAAGACACGACATCTGAACATGTTCAAAACTGGAGACGTCCTGGAGAAGTCGCAGCTCAGCGAGACACCTCCTTCAGCACCGTGCTTTGATTTATGATGGAACTCCATCCAGGTTGCATCAGGAGATCATCTCACGACGACCTCGCTGCACCGACTCCTCGAGTCGACCGTGGAGCCCCAACGCACCCGGTTATCATTCCACATCAGAGCTGCAACGCATCTGATTGAAAGAAGCAGCTCAGAGTTCGATCGCCTGCGCAAATAACATGAATCAGAGCTCGAGTGGTCCGAGCAGGACACGTCTCACTAATCAGCCAGAAACATTATTTATGTCCGCAATCGATGCCGCTGCGCTGAGACGACGGCAACTGAAAAATGGAAAAGCACAATTTGTGTTTGGAACCCTCGCTTCCTTCCCAACGCTATTTAGACAAATTGTTCAATATTTGACACAAATTTATTTTTATAGCCTCAGTTCTGTAACGAACGTCTCCGAGGAGGGAAAAACCAGCATGAGGGATGAGCTGGGAAAATGTAACACGGTGCCAGTAAAAGCTTTTTAATGTCGCCGCAGAGACGACTTTCCTCTACAAAACTTGTAAATATGAATAGATTTTTTTTTGTTAAATCAAACAAGGAGAACTGTTGGACAAGATTTTTTAAATCATTTATGTACATATGCTGCTTTCTTCTTACAAAATAAAGATTGTGATTTAATGTGGAGTCCTGGTTTTCTTGTTTGCTCTCCTAATCTGCTAACCAGCTTATAGAGAACGTCCGCAGCTTTTGTTTGTATTTATTTGCACAGTTAGTAACAAACTGGACCAACTGCTGCTCAGAAGCTCAACTCAACTACAAACTAACGGTTTATTATGAACTCAACGTCCAGCTTTTTATGGAAACGATCACGATCGATCAAATCGGCTCACAGTTCAGTGATTGTATAACAAATGAAATATCCTTCCACACATTGTTTCATAAAGTACCCGGTAGTTAAAGGAATGGTTGCATGGTGTTGCTGGGTGTCGGCGAGGTCGCCATCAGGAGCCGAGCCCCTCAGAGCTCGTTGTGCGGCAGACCCTGACGAGAGATCTTGTTGGCCAGGTCCTGCAGGTGCTTCTTCATCTGAAATCCAAGCAGAAGGCGCACGTGACCACTAAATAACTGCCAAGCTGCTCAGGAGGATATGAAGCTTGTTTTCTGTGGTGAACTGGACCAGAATTATTCTGTGAGTCTAATTTACTAAAGTTTTTCTTCTAATCTGTGTTTTTTTTTTTTAACAAGAGGACTCAGGTTTTTCATGTTAGGTCCTAAAATACATTTAGCTGCATCTTAAATTCATGCATTGCTTCTTTAATATTTAAATGTGTCCTCGGTGTAAGCGTTCCTTCATTGATGATTTCAGATGTTTTTACACTAATAAAACTCAAAGTCCCATCATGCAGCAGGAATATGACGGACTTCCTCCTAAACAATCCAGTTGCTCTGATCCTAAAACTGACAGTTGTAGGTTTTTTTCTGTGATTTGGACTGAATTTGAATAAAAAGCCAAACGTGCTGCCTTAGAAGAAATTTTATTTTGAAATGTTACTCAGTGTTTTTTCAAATTAGCGGAAGCCCAAAAGTCATACTAATGGTTTTGAGATGTTTTGAATTTAACTGAAACTTGCAGAAATCGTGCAGCAGATGCTCAAGAAGTCGCCTCCACACTTTGACCAACGGAGCGGCATTCTGTCGCTGCTCAGATGATGCGGAGCGCAGCCTCCAGCAGGGATTGGATTCTTGCACCACGTCCTAACATTTTGGAGACCTGTCAATCAATCCAGTAGGCGTGTCAGCAAATGCTCCTTACCTGCAGAGCTGCGCTGCAGCCCATCAGAGCATACCAGGTTCAAAGTCCTGATACTGTGAATAATCTGATGCCGACGTGCTAACAGATCAACTCTCTCCTCATTTGTAAAACCCATACCAAAGTATAAGTTAACAAGATGCTCATTCTTCATTGTACCTCAGTTAAAATGCAGTAAACCTGCGTGATGCGTCGGAGTTCGGATAATATTACGACTCGTTTAGCTTCGGATTGGTCATTTGCTGACACGCCTACTGGATTGATTGACAGGTCGTGTTGTGGATCTGACTTGTGGAAGAAAAATAAAATAAACGAGAGCTGCAAATAAAATAATGCCTCGTACGACTTTATTCTAGTGATTTTATGGCTTTTAAACTTTTTTTTCCTTAGCGTGGCCCTAAAGCTCCGTCGTACCAAACACTAATCTGAAGTGGTCTGATGGCATTTGCTCCGTCCACAGAGACCCCATCTCACACAGTCCGACTGGTCAGGAGCCTTTTCTTTGTTTTTAGACACAAAGAGGAGCGTAATAGTCATAACTTCATGGCTGATTGGTGAATTTAACAGAACTTCCTTTTATCTGATGACTCACAAGCTGCAGCACGTCCAATTCTATTTAAAATTCAGTGATTAACAACTCATATGTGGACGTAATATAAAAAACGTTTAATTTAACACATATATAAAGTGAACAGTTCTTTTCTTGCCAGGATTCCCGGAACAACAACAACATCTGTAAGTATGAACAGTCAGGACTACAGCAGCAGTTTTGATCTTACCTTGTAGCCCATCTCTCTGGTCTTCTCAGCGAGTGTGTTGTACTTGTCCTGGTTCCTCTTGATGTGCTCCTCGTCTCCTAAAGACTCCACATGTCGCAGCTTCTGGTGAGACAACTCCAGCTGCTCTTGGTAATGGTTGTGCTTCTCCACCTTGGCCTCAAAGTGATGCAGCTCCTCCTGAACGAACAGAGGACGGAAGCAAACATTTGTGCACGTTCACCTTCAGCTGCACCGAGGAGCTGGAACACACTTCAGGCGGCGAGCAGAGGAAACGTCTGAGGGATTCATCTGATCTTGAAGCAAGATGAACTTAAAAAGCTAAATTCATCTGCTCATGGGAGGAATGGATGAAAGGAGCACGGTGAGACGTGGGGGTGTAATGCTGGGAAAAGTTCACTGTGTAATAAAGAGAATCTGAGCACGTTGCACCGTTTGAGTACCGTATTTTTCACCATATAAGTCGCACCTTTTGCAAAAATTAGCAAGTCCTGCAAATTAGCAACTAAAATACTTTTTTCTCCATATTTATAAACCAATTTCATTCATTCTGACCTGGAAAAGATTGAACACCATCATTTTCAGCCACTAGAGGGCGCTCGAGTAATACGGCAAGCCAAGTGTCTCGGTAATAGGTAAAAGTGGCTATTAATGAGACACTTGGCTTGCCATACCAAGCCACCTTCATCTTGATTCTAAACTCCTGGAGCAAACGTCAAATCAGCTGCATTTCACCACCCAGGTAAATGCAGCTGATTTGACCATTAAAGTGCATTTTATTAAGGAAAAGTTAAACTGAGACACCTTTGCTATAATGTCGAGTAAACAAATTATTGATTTTAAGTGTTAATCTTGTTAAATTCTTGTTAAAGTCCTCCCGTGCACGCTCCCGTGGCTGCCATTTGGCAGCCAATCAATTTTTGGCACAACACTGGTCCACATTTCCAGGTCGTCAGCGATGACTTATACGGCGAAGCAACAAATTTGTTTTTTCCACTTTATTAGACATCTCTGGACTGTTGCGACTTATACAGCGGTGCCATGTGTACGGCGGCAAGTACGGTAACTTGAGTACACCACAAAACCATACAGTGAACGCAACGTTTACTAAAGAGAACTCGAATTCAAACGTTTCCGTAAATTGATCAACTCAATTCTACTCGTTTGCACGGAAACCAAAATCTTGTGGTGAAAAACGAGAAGCCAGACAGCTCACCTTCAGAGAGTCCAGCTCGTCTGTGCTGAGGTTGGATCGCTTGGCTGCTTCCCACAGTTCAATCACACGAGGCTCCCGAAACTCTACAAAGCAACGAGAGATGGACAGAATGAAGAAGAGATCCTGTTTGGAGTCTCAACAAAGCTCTGGAGGGAAGGAGCTTCAAGGAGACGCAGGTGAAGCCGATATTTCATCTGACTAAATCGTAAAGAGGCTAATCATTCGTTTCCTGTAACAGTGGGGGTTAAAAGACATGTCCTGATCAAAACTAACATCAAGGTTTAACATTAGAGCTTGAGGCCAGATTAATGCCGTCTAGAGTTGGTGAAAGAGGGAATAAACTATTCCTAACATGCTCAGGTCCAAAAACCAAAACCTCTGTCTTGTTTGAGTTTAAAAGCAAAAAATTAGGGTCTTTAAGGTTTTCATGTCTTTAAGACATGCTTGTAGTCTAAGTAGCTGATTGGATTCAATGGGTTTCATTGACAAATATAACTGTGTGTCATCAGCATAACAATGAAAATTTATCCCATGCGGTTTAATAACTTTACCTAATGGAAGCATATATAAAATAATTCAATTCAGTTTATTTATAAAGCACCAAGTCACAACAGAAGTCATCTCAGGGCACTGAGCAGAAACATTCATATATAAAAATAATAATTTAACATTATTTATCAGAAGAGCAGCTTTGAGTTTAACTCCATCACAGAACTCTCATCTTGAACAAGCATGAAGGCGACAGTGGAAAGAAAAACTCCCTCATGAGGAAGAAACCTTTAGCAGAACCAGGATCAGGACAAGAGGACCATCTGCTTAAACCGGCTGGGTTTGGTAGGAACAGATACACAATGGCAGGTCAAGAATCACATGTTAAGATAAAAATAGTATCAAATGAAAACTATTTAATTTAAAAAGTAAAAAAGTATTGGTCCAAGCACTGAACCCTGAGGAACGCCACGACTAACTTTGGTGTATGAAGATTCATTATTTACATTTACAAACTTTCACATGTAACAATATGCATTATTGTGAAAAACGAAGTCATCCCCAGACGTCCTTTCAATGGATGGATTAAGAAAAGCGCCTACAGTTTCAATATAGACTTCAGCATTTATTTAGCTGTTCTTTAGCCCCGTCACCTCGTTCACTTCGTTAGTGGCTTTTCTTTGACTTTTGTCTCATTTTTTTAGATTGTTTCTTACAGTTCAGTCGGACACTGACTCCAGATTTCTCCCGTTGTGCATTTTCTATTTAAGACATTTTGCTTTAAACTTTCCATCTCGACTCCTGGACGGCACGTCTGATTAATTACCGTACAGCCACGAGGACAACGCTCAGCTACAACCACACCGAATGTTTAGTCAAACTGACCAAATTATAACCATGTTCATGTTTTTAAAATGTCAGCTGGGTGTGGCAGCCATCTTGAATCATACAGACTCCAAAACACAATCAGTTGTAAATGTATATGCAATTATTTTCTCTGCAAGGTTCAATAAACTCGTTCGGTGGCTCGTGAGGTCCGTTAGAAACAGACAGACGCATAAAGACAAGAACGTGATCCTCAGCTTTAAGGTGCTGGCTCACATTTGAGTTCATCCTGAAAATCCAGAGCGGAGGAAAAAACATTTAACAAAAGAGCATCAGCAGCGAGAAGACCGTGAGAAACAATTTAAGCTGGAACTACAGCAGAAACCATCACTGTTGCCTAAAGTAAACGTCAAACACCACAGAACTCACACACCTCGACCACAAACAGCTGAAAGAGTGAGAGGATGTAAAGAAAACCTACAAACCAGCAAAAACTAGAAATAAACAGAGGAACGCAGAACAAGGACTGAGCTCCTTTAAATAACCTCCAACATGGAGATGTTCGTGTGTTTGCCTCCTCACCGCTGTCTTCACTGAAGCCCTCATGGCTGATCTTGCGGAGGCGCTCGAAGCCGTGGTTGAGGTTTCTCATTTTGTCCTTCAGCTCCGTGTGCTTCTGCTGCAGCACGTGCTCTTTGGTGTCGCCCTCCAGGGGGGAGATCACATTCTTGTGTATTTCTGTTGAGAGGATGAGAGGAGAGGAGGTGAAGAGGAGCCCACAGGGTTCGGTGGGCGGGTTAATGACGAGTGAAGTCATGAGGAGGTGAGTCGAGGAAAAGAGGCAGAGACAACAGGAGAGAGGAAAAAGGAATTAAAGGCTCAGCTTTCCTCGAGTCATGTCGCCCGCCGCCTTGCAGGCCGGAGCTGGACTTGGATCATCTTAAGGTGAGAAATAATGAAGTTACAGAAACGGTGTCAGTTCTTCTTGGAGCTCGGAGCAACTAACAGTTACAACCACACCAAATTCTACATCAGTTTCTGTGCAGCTGATCTCTACAGCTGCTACAGTGCACGCTCAAGGTCAGTATTTTGTGATGCACTTTGGTTCTGGTTCTTCAACATCTGGACACGTTTTGGGTGTTTGTGCATATTTGTCTCCATCAACAACAATGTTCTCCTTATGTGATGAAACATGATTATTAGAAAGTTGCATGTTTCATCTTTGATGTCACGTTTATCAACGACTGGCGTGGATCCACCCCAGTTAGTCTACATTTTTGTAGTGGGTATACTGGGCTTAGAAACAAAAGTACGCTGGTTAGTACAATGTATTCATTAATTTATTTTGATTTTTAAGCATATTGAACATTTCACTGATGCTTTTATTTGAATAAATGAACAAACTTTGCACCACAGTTGGCTTTGTATTAAAAACATGTTACAGAATTTATAAAACGGTATCAAAGCAAAACATGTTCAAGTCTTAAGTAGTAAGTACAGAAGTATTAATTATACTATTATTATTATACATATTAATTGAACTATTTTCATAATAGTTTCATTTATTTTGTGAACAAACATGCTCCTTTTCGTCAGTTCAGAATAAAGAGACGAGACAGCCCCTGGTTTACTCCAGAGCTAGCTGACCTCCTGCACAGGAGAGATCATCTTTGGGCCGCAGCGAGAAAATCTGACTCAGACACTGATTGGTTGAGTTTTCAACAGATGAGGAATAAATGTACAACTGCTGTCAAAGCAGCAAAACAACTATTTATCTCAGACCTCCAAAAATCTAAATGACCCTAACAGATTCTGGAAAACAATTAAATCTCTCTCAGGCACCCCCCAATCATCTGACCTCCCATCACAACTTCTCATTAACTCTGTTCCTGTGTCAAATAAGCACGAGATCCTGAACTGTTTCAACAAACACTTTGTTGCTTCTGGTTCTTTATTTGACACAGTAACTAATGGAAAATCAGCCACTTCACTTAATAACCAAACTTCTACAAATCAAATCCCTCCTACAAGTCAATCCTCAGTTAATCACAGCTTCTCTTTTTCTCCATTCTCAGTCAGTGAGGTCAATAAACTGTTAAAAGATCTTGATCCTAAAAAATCTGCAGGTCCAGATGAACTTCCACCTTATTTCTTAAGGCTGGCTGCTCATATCATCACAGTCCCTGTGACCCACATCTTCAATCTCTCCATAAGACAAAACTCCATCCCAGACACTTGAAAACAGCCTTTGTTCTTCCTTTGCTGAAGGGAGGAGACCCCACCACACTGAACAACTATGGACCAATCTCTAAACTCTGCATTTTAGCCAAGGTTCTAGAAAAACTGATAAACTCTCAAATCAAAAATGACCTGGACTCATTTAACATCTTACCTCCACATCAATCTGGTTTCAGGAAACAACACAGCACAACCACTGCTTCACTGAAGGTTCTTAATGACGTTGTTGAAGCACTGGATGCTAAGGATTATTGTGCTGCACTTTTCTTAGACCTGTCTAAAGATTCTGACACTGTGGATCAGAACATCTTGTGTCATAAACTCTCAGAAATCGGTTTCTCAGTTCACACCATTGGTTGGTTCTCTAACTATCTTTCAGACCGGAGGCAACGTGTTCAACATAATGGTACTTCCTCCAGTTATTTAACAGTCAACAATGGTGTACCACAAGGCTCAGTCTTAGGACCCACCCTCTTTACAATCTACATACATAATGTAGGTAAAAACATCCCTAATGCATCCATACATTTCTATGCTGACGACACAGTTGTTTATTGTCGAGCTAAAACTGTTGCTAAGGCTTTCCAGCTTTTGAAATCTGCATTCAACCTCATTCAGACCGATTTGTTTCGCCTCAAACTTGTCCTAAATGCCGACAAAACCAAAGGGATGCTTTTTTCAAATAGGAAGTTGGTCCCAGCAGTTCTTCCTCCGACTTCATCCTCAAATGGTGTCCCCATTGAGTTTGTTGATTCCAGAAACCATCTTATCACCATCAAACTGCTTGACCCACTGTGAAGGTGTTAATTATAAAACTGAGTTTGTTGTGGCTCCTTGGACTGATGAAGTCCTTTGGATGAAAGATGAAACGTTTCAATACAAAGAAACCGTTCAGAAGACCTGACTCAACTTTGTTAGATTTTTCTACCTGGATTATTGAGCGTGAACTTTGATGTCACTGAGTTGTAGACATTTTTGTGTTTGCTAAGGTTGCTTAGCTGTGGCAGCCATCTTGAATTAGGTTGACTCCAAGAGTTTAACAGAAGTAGAACCAAATGTTTACTTTCTGAAAAATTTGTGATTCATGAGTTATTTTGCTAACGGTGCAGAGAAATACAAACACGGGCAAAACCGTTATCGCTCCACCTTCGCCTTTCAGTGAGGAGCATTAAAAACCAAAATAGAAGAGAAAGCAAGTAGGCGTTTTGTTGTGGGAGGTGTGAAATAATCCCAAATAGATCCTCTTTCTCTTAAAATAATAAACTTCTTCCTCTATAAGAACCACGAGCAGTTTATGAGCCTGGACTTCCTGGGTAATACCAGCAAGTTATGAGATTTCTGTCCAACTCCCCTTCAGAAGAGCGAGGAGGGAAACCTCAAACAAAGGCTGAGCACACTGCAGCATTCTGCCTGAGCATCCGCCGACATTTGGATCCAAAGAGAAGAGCTAACGCAATAAAAAGCTGAGAAACAGACAGCAAGCGGAGGTGAGTGTGCTGTGGAGGCAAACACAGACTCCCCTCGAGGCAGCATGATTGGCTGAACATTTAAATGCACCAGACAAGCAGAAAAGTACCCCTGGCTTGTTCTGCAGTGTAGCACTGAGGAGTGATAATAAAAAAATTGGCACAAAAGCCCTGCATAGAGCCGGTATCATCTGAAGGAGACCATCTTCAACGTGTCTTTATGAAAAACACTGAGGGGTCTGTCAGCGCTGGGATGTGATGAGCATCCACAGAGCAAAGAGCAGCAGGAGACGTGCCGGCTGCTACCTGCCACCTACGTACCCGACCACGTCTGAACAAATAAAGCACTTCGCACGTCAACTCCTCGTCCTGAAAACATTTCAGTCTCGTCTTTCCATCTGGAAAATTATCAAGAAAACAATCGGTGACCAGGAAGTGCTTTGTATTCATCCAAAGACGTGAACATACTGTAAATCTGTCCGAAGAAGTTTAGGACCTTGGCATATGTTGCCATGGTGATCTAGCCAGGGTCAAATACAGCCACCTACTTGTGTTAACCCACTGATCTCCCCTCGATGCTCCATAGCTGCTCAAGATCAGATTAAATCCTGAGTGATTGGTTCTTCTCACTTTATGTTGTGTACGATGCATGTCAGGTGACCGTGGGTTCATTCCAAGATGATTTGAGATGTTACGTGTCCAGTCGTTCTAAAAACAACCAGACAGGTGCAGGTGAGTACCTGCTTGTACTTTAAGTTTATGTTCCGTTTCTGTGCTTGGTATGGAAAGAGAGAGAGAGAATTTCAAGGGGGTAGTGGATTAAAAATAAAGATTAAGAGCTATATGGCCAAGAAAATGTTGGGGTAAAGTTATCACTCATTGGTGTCAGAAGCATTTCTAATGTGCGCGCGCGTGTGTGATCCTCTCCCAGAGAACTTTGAATAAAATAGATGCCATTTCCTGCATTCAGGTGTATTTAATGGGTTGTTACAATCTATGTTTACCTACATAAGTAAACACTTGATTCAATAACTATTTTAGAGAGCAACAAGAAGTATCCTGACCAACAGCTCTCCTTGTGTGAATAGAGAACGCTCCGCTTCTCTCAAGCTCATGAAAAATGGGAGCAAAAACAAAAGTGTTGCATTTATATTTATGTTTGTTGTATTTAGACATATAGTGAGTCATAATGATAAAGGTATAATAGAGCAGTAAGTCATCATCTGGTGCGATGATCGACAGATTCCTTTGCGACACAGAAAACTCACTTTTAGTCCAACTCCTCTTTGCAGTCCACCCTTCAGACGCTTGTAAAGTTTAACGTAGATACGGACAGCACAGGAGGCAGAGTAAAAGATTCAGCTCACCCTCTGTCCTGCTGACGGTCTCCATGAGGATGTTGTACTCGTGGATTTTCTCCTTGTGATGCTGGAACTCCCTTTTCAAGCTCTGCAGCTCCTCACCGGTGAACTTACCCGAGTTCTGTGCCTGTTGGAAGTTTGTGATGGAGAGGAGTTGGTGTCAAAATGAACAGAACAATAAATACTTTACACATGGCTGACAATAACAACTCACTTAAAACATCTGCGAGCGCAGAATGAAACATGACGCTGCTCACTTCTCCAGGTACCTCATGTGTTTTCAAATAACATTCTTGTTAGAACAATTATAGAAACTTTATTACACCTCCCCTCTCCAAAAGCTAGAACGTGGTCAGTCACAGGCGGGTGACATGTTTGGAAATTCATGAGATCAGAAATAAAAGTGAATTCATCTTTTGTTCTATGTCAAAAAGGAAATTAAAAATATATTTGGACAAACTCGTGTTGTAAAGTAGCAGCTACCTGTGAATTTGAGTGGCTTACTTTAAAACCCCTCGCTAAGATGAATTAGCTCGTACGGGGACAGACGAGAGACTTTAAGTCAAATTCACGGTTAGTATTTATTGAAAACGTGGGTCTTAATTAAAGCCAACAGTTTCTCTTCCTGTGGGTTTTGTGTAACAAATTATTTGTTGTTTCTCTAAGAATTAGATCAGGTCGAATCTAAAAATTATATTCAGCCATTTGGAAAGACCAGTTGTTTTTATTTTCTCCAAAGCTTTGGTTTTCTAACTTCAACCATTTTTCTTTTGTTCCTGTTCAGGCTGGTCGGGGTTACGCGCTGGACAATGCACCAGTAGGGCGAATGGAAACAAACCAAACCTGCAACTGGAGTCCGTTTAGAATCCTCCAATCATCTCGTAGTTGGAGAAAACCCACGCAGGAACCAAGACAACAAACCAACTTGGCTCTAAAAGGCAGTAACCAGGATTTAACCTGTGAACTTCCTGCTGTGTGGCGACAACATGAACCACCGCACCACCGCTGACCTGAACACATTCATCTCCTCAGCCTGCAGCTCATTCAGAGACAGAAGCATTTCATCGGCAGCGAAGCAGAGATTTAAATTATTGCATTTAAAGTGAAAAACATTTGAACCCCTCCAGAAACACAAATGGTCAGACTGCACAAAACAGTCTGTCTTTTTTATTTTCCATCATTAAGCAACGTGTGCCTCACGGACCATCAGATGAAATATGTCAAGCACCAGCTCTTCAAAACATTTCTTCAGTCCACAACTGGGCAGCAACAACTGGGAAGAACAACTGGGCAGCAACTGGGAAGAACAACTGGGCAGCAACTGGGAAGAACAACTGGGAAGAACAACTGGGCAGCAACAACTGGGAAGAACAACTGGGCAGCAACAACTGGGCAACAACAACTGGGATCAACAACTGGGAAGAACAACTGGGCAGCAACAACTGGGCAGCAACAACTGGGAAGAACAATTGGGCAGCAACAACTGGGCAGCAACAACTGGGAAGAACAACTGGGCAGCAAGCGTGACATAAAAAGCTAGTTCTGCTGGGGGAACATTTTCAGGCTGCGACCTGTCAGCCGTTTTAATCGCTCGCTGCGAAGGTGAAAGGTCGTTGACGATGTTTGTGTCCACGTCTTTGTTAGTGTCTGTTACCAAAATATCTCCCACGGTAACAGATTGCCCAAGAACTAAGACTTTGCCATCGGGGCCTGAGATGGGGTAGAGGTAGGGCAGCCGACTTGGGACCAGAAAGTTGCGGTTCAACTCCCTGCCCTGCCCACATGTCGTGGTGCCCCTGAGCAAAACACCCAATCCCGAACTGCTCCCCGGGTGCTTCCATAGCTGCCCACTGCTCCACCTGGGTGTACCTCAGGTGTGATGGGTTAAATACAGGACTAATTTCATCATTGTATGGGAACATATGATGATGGGGTCAACTCAGTCAAACTGTCAGCAAAATATCTCATAGACCTAAACATATATTTTAATTAAACTTTCAGGAAAATAAAACATTAGCTGCATCTCCTGGGTAGAAGTTACCCTGTGGAGAAGAGCGGTATGTGGGTTTTATTATTTTTCTTGGCTTGTCCCAGGTGAGTGACAAATCCTGGTGAATAAAGGGGGAGCCAGGGGGTGGCCAATGGTGGCTTTGCCCACCATAGATTACACTTCAGCCACCCCAATCATGAAAAACTCTACTTTTAAGCAATATAAAAACAAGAAAGCATAGTTTCCTCATATGATTGGGGTGGCCAGTTTACATGCATACATGGGGCAGCCATCTTGGATTTCGACTTGGACACGGACTTTTCAAAAGAAAACTTTCTTACACCTAGATGTAGCCACATACCAAAATGGAAGTCAGCACCTCTCCAATTCTCATGTTTTCATGCTCACAACATGGATGGACATTTGTGACAGCAGCCATCTTGGATTTTGACAGCAAATGGACTGTACTTATAAAGCATCTTTCTTTCTTATCAAGATACTCAAAGCTCTTTACAACAATCTGTGCCTCGTTAACCCATTCATACAGAACTCTACTAGATCTATACAAAGACTAATCAGAGCTTTATCACATTCATACACTGATGGGACACACCGACAGCAATGAGGGGTTTAGTGTCACTTGAGAGAAGCGGAGTGTTCTCTATGCACACAAGGAGAGCTGTTGGTCAGGCTACTTCATATTCTCTCCAAAATAGTTATTGAATCAAGTGTTTACTTATGTAGGTAAACATAGATTTTAACAACCCAAGAAAATACACCTAAATGCAGAAACTGGCATCCATTTTATTCGAAGTTCAGCGTATCCATTCAACCTTTATTTAAACAGATAAATCACATTGAGCCTCGAAGACTCATTTACAAGTTACAACATGACTGCTAGTGGGACGCTTGGGCATGTGACTGCTGGTGGAATCAAACCCCCAACTCTTGCATTGGAGGACGACTGCTCTAACCACTCAGCCACAGCCGCTCCTAATTTTGATGTGGCAACCCAGTTTTAGAAAGGAACTTTTTTACACCTAGATGAAGCCGCACGTCAAAATGGAAGTGATCGTGCTCTCAACGTGCACGGACGTAAGACGGGTGTATTTCAAATGTCCCCTCTTTGCTCTGTGACAGGGGACAAAGACTGGTGTGCTTGTAGCTGCTTATTGTGTGAGATCTTTGCTTAAACTAGTATTTACTGTTTGTCAGGAAAATATCTTGAACCACAAGCCGAAACAAATTTGACTGACGCTTTATGAAAGTAATTGATTGCACATCTACAACTAAATTTGTTTAATCCAACACAAGATTGTTGCCACAGAACAGACATTAGTAAACTCATACTTGGCTAAAACTGTTAATTTCACAGACAACAGGTTAAAATTGTATTTGGTTTTAGGTCTTAACTTCTTTTTTTCCTCTTGAACACAACTACAGACCTTGTTCCAAAGCTTGTCCAGTCTGGGGTCATCAAATATGTCTCCATCTTTGGTCTCGTGGTCTTTCAGCGAGTTGGTCTCCAGCGACCGTGCGTCCCTTTTCCCATCCATCCCATACTTGGCCAGAATCACTGGAGAACACAACCGTTTCACGTTAAACAAATGCTGCAGTGAATAATCCGGACATTAGCCTCGAAGAACAACAGCAGATGGTCTCGTGAGAGGGTGGGAAGCAGGAGAATATAAAGTGACTAAAACACACACATGAATTATTTAACTACGACTCTAAAACCCCAGAGTAACTCATTAATCCCAAGGAAAGCCTCTGCATGTGTTAAAGACAACAGACAAGTGAAAAACACCCTGAATTAAAAAAAAGGCCAACAAAATAAACATTTCTCTCATGTATAAAGAAGTATTATTGGTCACAACGCTTCCAAAAATACCAGAAGATGAGAGGAACACTCATTTATATGTTGACTCATTAATAAACCTGTCGTGATAAATCGATTAATCTCATGATACATTAAAATTATTGACCTCATCGTCTTTATCGTTTCTTCATGTCTCTCTCTTTCTACTGAAGACACTGGACGACAAAAAGCTCAACTCTGGTTCTTCACTGCACAGCTGCAGAAAGAAAAGCTTTGCAGAGAGTGGTGAAGGCTGCACAGAAATCTGTTGGAGTCAGCCTCCCCACCATCACAGACATCTACACCTCCAGATGCAGGAAGAGGGCCACCTGCATCATGAAGGACCCCACCCACCCAGCACACACACTTTTTGCCCCACTCCCCTCAGGAAGGAGGTTGAGGAGCATTAAGTGTAGAACCACTAGACTGAGGAACAGCTTCTACCCTGAGGCTGTTAGACTCATGAATCTCTAACTAGAATAATCACTGTGTAAAACCATATCATGTTGCTGCTGATCTGTTTCATGTTGCTGCTGATCTGTTTCAATGTTGATGTGTTCCTGCGTGCACATCTGCTCACAGACTCATGTTCATGTTTGTGCTGATGTTCAATGTTTTATGTTATGAGTGCTTAGTGTATATTTAGTTGATGTTTTTCTTAGTTCATATCTTAGATGTTATTACTGTTTTTCTTAGACATTTTATTGTTGGATGTAACTGGGACCCTGTGTACATAATTTCGCTCCACCACATGTACCACATGAGGTGCGAATGACAATAAAGAAACTCTGACTCTGACTCACTGACCCCTCCCTTTGTCTTTTCTAAGTAAAATCTGTTTTAATCGTCCCGAATCACATTTTTGGATCGCTATAAGCAGCTAAGCTGAGAAGCTAAGCTACGAGTTAAGCTAACAGGCCGACCTCAGGGAAAAAACCTCCGTCTTGTCGAAGCTCCAAAATTCACAGTTGAAACTCGTGCCTTCGTGTAAAAAGTTGTTTTTCTCTGCAAAAAGAAGCTGAGAACTTGTTTACTGATTTTTTATTAAAAGCTTTGTGTGAAAAATGCTAAAGAGCTCCAACCACACCGAGCGTCCGCCATTTTGAGAACCGAAGAGAGACAACCCATGTCACGTCAAGGAGCCTCCCTTCCATTTATCTTAAAGAGACACCCTGCTCACTCCCTCACTATCCATCCTTCTGTTCAAACAGTCTTATGCTGCCATCCAGTGGTCGAAAATAGGTACTACACACAAAAATTAGCCAACGTTTCTTTTTAAATTTGACAATAATTTCAATTAATCTTATCGTTTATCGCAATAATTTCTGATACAATTAATCGCCCAGCAAAATTAGTTATCGTGACAGGCCTACTCATTGAATAGAACAGCCCCCCCCCCCCACACACACACACACTTCTGTGTCAGTTCGCTGTTAATGAAGCTAAATCAGCGACTCTCAGGACAGCCGTGAGCCAAGTGTCACTTATTAATTTGAACATCCATTAACGTGCAGTCGTTTCAGTTTGTCAAAGAGCAAAATGTTGAAAACAGTTTTTGATGATGATGCTTAACTTCTTTTCTTTGATTCTCTTTTTTTATTCCAATAATCTACAATGAGTTCAAACAATAAAACAAGCACATGGAGACAAACGAGACAAACCTAGGGTCCTAGGGGCCATAAGGTCATCGTTGGAGAAGGCAGCTGAGGCGATGTGGTGTTTCCCCACTGACTGGACTGTTTAGACCGTTTTAAACAGTTTTAAACTGTTTTAAACTGTTTTCTGATTTGGGGGTTTTCCGCCACATGAATAGAGCATCCGTAATTGCAAGGTTGATATCGTTATTTGTAAAAAAAAAATCCATAAACGGGGGGGTGTCTATGTCAGAGGATTTGGGTCAGAGGTTATGGATATTACTGGTGTTCTTTCCATTAAAACAAGCAAGTCTTATCCTGAAGTGATGCTCGTGGACTGTACCTGTGAAGGCCAGGAGTGCCAGGTGAGACTACAGCTTCGAGGACACCCACTGAAACCTTGTCCAGCTGATAGGGACGATACAACATCTGCAGATCATTGTGAGCGGGCGTCCGGTGTCTACATTTAATGCATATTGATGTGAACTGTTCCGATATCTGCCCTTTCAAGTAAAACTGTACCGGAGATTAAATGTTCACCTGCCGTGTGCGAGTGTGGTTCATTTGAGGAAACATCATTTAGAGCGTTTTCCTCTGACACTTAGGAGGAAAATAGGTCCCTAGGTGGGACCATCTCACCTGGGGACAATTTAGAGTTACAGTCAGTCTAACATGCATGTTTTTGGTCTGTGGGAGGAAACTGGAGCACCCAGAGAAAACTCACACATGCACGGAGAGAACATGCGAACTCCACCCAGAAAGGCCCCCGGCTGGGATTTGATCCAGTGACCTTCTCGCTGAGAGGCAACAGCTCTACCAACTGAGCCACCGTGCCGCCCAGTCCTCAAACAAAATGAATTTATTTGTCGAGGGTCAGATGAACAACATCAGCCGAAGGCCTCTAATTTCTAAAGGATTATTTGGTTTGAGTAAAGAGATTTATTTGTCCAGGAGTGGTGAGGCGTCTTGTTGTTGAACGGCCTTTGGTCTGATAAAAGCTCTGTTTGGTGCTGCCAGAACAAAGAGGGCATCCTGCTGCTGCTCACACACTCTGTGGGTGTCTGGCTCACTGCCTGCAGCTACAGAGGTGAACAGGTCGTAAAACAGATCGTGGTTTGAATAAACGTTCAGTTTTCTTTGGGCAAAACACGACCGAACCGTTCACACATCATTCCCAGTCCATGTTCACACGAAATACTATGAAGACATTAGAAGTACCAACTAGTGTGTGAGTAATATAAATAAAAGCATACGGTAATTACTTTCACACTCGTTATTACGTGCACACTTTTACTTTATTGGACTTTTAAACTTTTGCATTTTGCCACATATTTGATATTTATGCAATTTATAAAAAGTTATCAAAGTTCATGCTCAATCATCCAGGTATCAAATCCAATATAAATAAATAAATAAATATAAATAAACAAATAAATAAATAAATAAATTTTTTAAGAAACTGTCCAGATGACATGACTGAGAATTAATGGAATTTATAAAGTTGGACTTTGTTCTAAAACAACTCTTTTCTGAATAATCTGTTCAGTCCATCACTACTACTTCTTCTTCTTCTTCTTTCAGCTTTTCCCTCTTCAGGGTCTCCACAGCGAGTCCACGTCCTCCGTCTCACTCTGTCCTCACTCCAACTACCTCCATGTCCTCTCTAACTGCATCCATATGTCTCCTCTTTGTCTTTTTCCTGCAGCTGCATTTCTAACATCCTTCTACCAACATACCCACTGTCCCTCCTCTGGACATGTCCAAACCACTGTCCCTCCTCTGGACACGTCCAAACCACTGTCCCTCCTCTGGACACGTCCAAACCACTGTCCCTCCTCTGGACACGTCCAAACCA